AACTTCTTTCTAATCTGAATTGTGATAAGTTATCCTTGCAAATTTTATTACAGTAAATACTCGTTCCATTGAATTTTTGTAGTTTATTATTAAAAATTAATCATATCTAATATTGCAGTTTTATCTCTATCACGTGATAATGCGAGTAATTACCTGTAATTTGTTTAGCCTTATCTTCGAGAGCTTCTAGCATTGTTGAATTTTGCTTTTTTGAGCATCATAAGTATCGAGAAATTCTTGCGCCTTAGCATCATATTCGTCCATAATCTTCCAAATAATAGACGTGTCGTAGAAAAAGTGGCATTTTTTCTCTTTTTCGTTTTCTTCACACTTTCTATTCTTATATTTTATATTTTACTTTGACTATTCTTACTACATCTTTACTTTTTTTATAGTATATTTTAACCTATACACTTTTGATTTATTTTCCGTGTTTTATCCTTTTTTTATTTATTATACGCCGTTTCATTACGTTTTTTTATCTGCCGTCGTGAAGAATAAGTCGTCATAAAGATAAGTAATTAATCTCACGTTATTATCTAACTTGACGTTCCTCGATAACAACTGATCTAACGTTACCAACCTAAAAAATTTCGTTAAAAAATTTTTATTAGATTAGGGTTAAGTTTTGCTATTAAGTTAGGTTAGAAAGAACTTTAATAGTACTGTACCAAATTTTTGCAAATTGACGTTTGTAAATTTCAAAGAATTTTTCAAACCAGGTGTCAAATTTAGGAAGGTAGCTTTTAAGAGAAGGGATTCGAAAGTCATGTGAACTGGTCTTTAGGAATATTGAGTGAGATGTTAATGTTAAATTTATTTGCGTCACACCTGATCTTGAAATCTGATTGGCCAGTGATATTTTTTAGGATGGTAACGCTACTGATCTAGCGTTACCAACCTAAAAAATTTCGCTAAAAAAATTTCGCTGTTAGATTAGGATTAGGTTTTGTTATTAAGCTAGACTAGGAAGTGCTTTATTGGTACCAAAATTTCGCAAGGAAAACTTTTTGTTAGTGCGCAGGTGATTTCATTTTTCGCGTTTCTTCTGCGTCACACCTGATCTTGAA